TCTGCGCAAATGCGGCGTCCTCCCGTGAGAGTGGGTACGGACGCGGGCATTGATACGGCGCCTCCTGAGTCCACGGCAGCTGCAGTCCGAACCTCAACTGTCGCACTAGCCATGGACTCGCGCCGAGGGCGCTCCAAGCCACGTGCGACCTCTCTACGCAGACCGACGGCGGTACCGCAAGGGGCATCGCTTTCCCTAGCGGGTCCCTCCTCCTCCTCGTCCGCCGCGACGACCGCGGCTCTGTCCTCGCCCTCGACCGTCTCTGCCCACTTGAGGGCCTGTGGCGGGAGGCCCGGAGAGAGCGGCGGTGACAGGCGCCCCGCGAAGAGGAGCGCTCGGCGCATGCCCTCCGCGGCGTCGCCCTGCGACCTGGGCGGCGTACCGGATCGCCTGCACCTGCTGCCGTCGGAAAGCCTGGCTTCCTGCGGAACTGAAGGAGGCCAGGGGTTCGATGTACGCCGCAAGAAGCTCAGGGTCCGCAACCCCAGCTGCTCCTTGTAGACCACAGAGTACCTCGTACTTAGAGGCGTTGAGCTCGTAGACTCCGAACGCTGCGACCTGTACGTCTGAAAGGCGGACGGCGGCCTTGCGGAGCTCTTCCCTGTCGACACTCGCCTCGACCCGGGGGAGCAGAGCGGCGAGCTCACCAATGACCGAGGTAAGCTCGTTGGAGACCTTGCAAAGGTAGGCGGAGGTGGCGTATAACGTGTTAGCCTCGCTGGCTCTACGAGGGCTTGCGTGGACTCCCGAAAAGGTGCGGTAGTGCTCGACAGTGTCCGGGTCAAAGCGGACAGGGAATCGCCCTTGGTAGCGACGAGGGATCTCGAATCGAGGCGGGATGACGTACCCTCTCCTCTCTTCGTACCAGGCTTCCGTGAAAGCCTGGGATCCTGCTCCGTCTTCGGGGTCGAAGCCGGATTCTTCTTCTTCTTCACCTTCGGAGTACGGGTTGTCCTCCTCGGCGGCGGACTCTCCTCCCGAAACCGCAGCGGCACCTGGCGGGGCGGATCGGCCGCGGCGGCAGCGGTTCTGACGGCGCCGCTTCCCCTCTCTGACGAATCGGGTGCAAGCGGACTTGATTCCGGCCAGGCGGGGGCAGCGGAAGCTGGCTCGCTCGAGAGCAGGTGCGCGGTGGCGGCGGATCCTGCATTCGGTTGCAGCGTCGCTAATGCGACTTTAAGTTGCTCGACGAATAAGGCCAAGATGGCTGAGCTCGTCGCCGCGTCGATAGCGGGTAGCGGTTCGACGAGATCGGTGGCGTCGACGGGCACAGCTGGTTGTTCTCTGACATTCCGCTCGGCGTTGCCGTAAGGGAAGAAATGTGTCGAACCTCCGCGCTGTGTTGGCACGGGGAATCGTTTCTCAGGCTGAGAAACGGATGACTGCCTAGAGTAAAGAGAGTTGAGCAGCTGCCCCCACTGATAAGCAAAGGGCCGACGCAAAGGGGCCGGGGCGTACAGTGCGGTCTGAGAGCGGCGGGAGGCATTACAGTGTGATCATGAGATACAGGTCCGTTTATGTTTGTGCATTTGTCCTGGAAGAGGGCTCTTTTGAATCTAATTGGTAGTATAAAATGTCCACGCCAATGCCTGGTTCTGTAGCGCAACGGCTTATACTGTGGCGAAAATTTCTGGTGTGGTCCTAAATTTATTTCTAGGAGTGTACAGCAGTGAGCCAATGTTCGGTTTCTCTCGTATCTGCCTTTACCGATAGCAGAAGTGAGACAGGCGGTGGTCGGTTTCCTGTTTCTTGGTTGCCCACCCCATCCACGAAGTCATCGCTGTAGATGAGTTGTGGTTAGAAACGATCCACAGAGTCATATTGATATTGTAAGGTGGAAAGGCATTTTGGAAGATACATAACAACTCTCCAGGAAAACGCAGTATTGGACAGCTTGCTCCGCACCATGGTATCTTCATCTCACATTTAAGCATTGATGTCAACAGCTGTAGGCTTCAGTATGGTCACTCTTCATTATTATAAAGTTTCGCATTCAAGCTTAACGGGGTGTCTTGTTACGTTCTGACAAGGACGATGGCTCAAATTGACTGATTCGGCAATTTGCGATGCGGTGAGCTCAGGTGCAGTTACTCGATTGAGAAGAAAAGATCACAGAAAGGACGTGGATGAAGATTTACAAAACTTTGTACCGCTAGCTTCGGGCGGGCCACAACGATACCGAGACTACCTCGGCAATTGTGATGCAAGTTCCTCCACACAACCCTAGTGTTGTAACCAGGTTGTAAATAACTGCACAGTACGGGATTATGATATGAAAGGCACATTGTGCTTGCAGGCCAGCATGCGCAAGGCTTTGTGCAGGGTTCAGTATACCCTATGTATGATCTGTGGTACTTTTCCAAAAATATAGCGTACTATATAAAGCCTATGCTCGCCCAAAAGTATGAGCCTTTTCAATTCCTAGACTTTGTGGGCAGAGCGCGGAGGGGGTGGAAGATGCGGCGAAGAAAATATATCCTCACTGTGCTGAAAAGGGGTGTGATACGACCTTGTCTCTGGCAGCGGTAAGTTCATGGCCGGGCATGTTACAGGGGGTGTTTGATGACGCGTCATCACAAGTGGACAAGACAATACAGTGCCATACTGATGTGATGATTGGGCACCACCGGAAGGTGCGGCCGAGGTCACGTGGCACGACGGCTCCTGCAACTGGGCTCTGTGGCACAATCATTTCCAAAAGGGCTCGAACATATCTGCCGGATACCCAATCTGCTCTTACATCGCCTTACCCGCCCCCACCCCACCCTGTCCACATCTTCGGCAGCAGACAAAAGATTTTGAGGTGTCGGAGTTGAAGGTACATGCGATTTGTTCTCTTGCGGGGAAAGGAATTCCACTTCAGCTCCAAGAGAACCGGCAACGGGGTACTGGAGAATTGGCAACAGTGGACGATTCCTCTTTCTAGGACAAACTGCATGTCCATCTCCCAATGAAAAGATCACTCTAAGTGCAAACGCGGCTCTTTCAAAGACCTCTTACAGATCAAGGTATCAGCCGCTGCCATGTACGTTTCACAAAAATCATCCCTTGCTCGCAACAGACTGGCCGCTAGATGAGCCCGTAACATCAAACTGATGCCGCGGCACTACCGCAGAGGGCACTACAGAGAGTACGGGTGGGCACGGCAAAGGGGGAAATTCGAAATACGTACGGTTTCTTACAGCCTCCTGTACCACTGAACTTTGACTGAAGAGCATCTCGTAGTACCAGCCAGTGGCCACTGGAAGCATGTACGATACAGAGTACCATTCAACTTCACAAAGGCTTCGTGGAAACGCGAATCGCATCCTTGCTTCAACCTATGTTTCCTGCAGGGCATAGAGGGCGGTCACCGGTTGCGTAAACTGCGGGCATACATTACGATTTTGAGGACTTGCCGACTTCTGCAAAGCCTGATCACACCGCCACACTCCCTTGCTCTAGGTCGTGAGATTCGTCCGACCGATCTATGCCATTTCTGTACAGCAATAGCATTTTCTCGTCCTCACCAACCGTCTCGATATATAAACTTTCCAAAACACCTACCGTGTACTGTACAAGCGCTAGAGGGTACAACGCCACTGTCAACACTCGAGCCTGCTCGACTCGCTCCTACACCGCCCGCCGCCCCGCTATATTCTCGATTCTCGACCTCCGTTACAAGCAGAACCGTGCACCTGTATTCCGATATCCATGTTATCCCGGCTCAAGCCCCATCCTCAGCCCGTTCAATGCTATCTCTTCGCAACTTAGTTCGCAACTTAGTTCCCTCCCGCGCCCCGACATTCTTCAAATCTTCCGTCTTGCTGACGCGCCCAAGCATCACCCTTCATGACCAGTCTCACATGGATTCACTTCTTCGCTATTTCTATCCTCATCATTTCCCATCATGTCAACGCCGCACAAAGCACCAAAGCAGCCGCCTCTACGCTCGCGGACTTCATTAACCCCTCCCAGTCGCGGCGCCCCAACTTCGATAATAGTACCGGCAACTACAGTATTATGGCACAATTCTTGCGAGACGCAGGCCTCCTTCAGTCTCTCGGGGAAGACGCTGAGCTCGGCTTGACGTTTTTCCTCCCAAGCAATCTTGCTGCCCTCACTACTGCTGAAGACATTGCATATGCCCAGGAACAAACTCTCCCCGAGACGGAACAGCAATCCTATGCCACCATCAAGAAATTCATCAATACCTTTAAGAAACCAGATCACGTCCTGTCCTCTCTACTCAAGTTTCACATGCTTCCCAAGGAAATGACATTCAATGAAATTACAGGTGAAGACACCTATGAAACGATGAATGGCCAGACCATTGACAGATATGGCCTCAAACTTAGTCCTGCAGAAGGCCAGAGCGATATTGTCGAAACCTTCCCACTTCCTGAACTTGTCTACGGACCAAGGAACAGCTTTAAGACTTCCAATGGGTTTGTGCACCACATCGATCGCATTCTTTTCCCCCGTATGTCGCAGTTCGAATCAACGAACGGCGACGCAGACCCCCCTTTACAGACGACTCCGAATCCCAATGCTGGCGGCGAGCCTGGTTCAGGTTCGATTCCCTCATCTCCTGTCGAATCTACAGTTGCAGTCGTTCCATCTATTTCCAGCAGCCCAGATCCGGATGTACCGGCTTCTGTCACGCCTACTGCAACCGGCGACTTAACGTCAGATTCTGAGCCGGCATGTTTTCCAGGGTCTGCCATATTGCATCTCGAGGATGGAACAGACGTTTCCCTCTCTCAGCTAGCTGCTGGCCATGTGGTTCGAGCTTCTGAGACACAGTCAAGCATGGTGTATTTGTTTACCCACAGAAAGCATGACGGAATCTTTGATTTTGTACGAATCGTAACGGAGGGCGACCATGAAATCAACTTGACAAAAGGCCACTACATCTATGCAAATGGAAAACTCAGAGCCGCAGGAAGCGTCAAAGTCGGGGATACCTTACGCACCCTGGACGGAAGCTCGAAGGTTAGGTCTGTTCGCGCGTCGCGCGACTATGGGCTGTTCGCACCACACACGCTCCACGGAGATATCGTTGTCAACCGCATCGTCGCGTCGACATATACGACCGCAGTGAACCCGACTATTGCGCACGTGATGCTGTGGCCGTTGCGAGCAATGACGCATATTGGAATCACTAAAGAACCCCTGGGTTCTCTCTTATATGAAGGAGCGTGGGGAAAAGCCAGAGTTCTCTCCCAAGCTGTATGACTGATTCGGTCTTGGACATTTACAGAAAAGGACGTGTTCGGATCGACGATTATCCCCGTCCTCATTCTAGTTTGGCGCAGGTTTTTGCTCGCCCGTGGGTAAGGCATTATGTCCATTTTAATGCGCTGTATCGCAAGAACCCTGCAATAAGTGGTGAGGCGCGACGAAACTTTCTTTTCTGTTTCTAGAAGAGCTAGAAAACCGTACCCCGTTCCGTGCAGAGAGCCCTTTTTCTTCTTTTTCTTATTGTTCTTGCCCCAGTGAGGCGTACGAATGCGTTTTGACGCAGAAGTGCAGTTCTCGAGATGTGCCGGTAATCTGAGACATCCAAGGGTATGTAGTAATGAGAGCTGATTACCTTTTTGGGTCTCTCCACTTAACGGCGGCGATATGGCACAAATTCAAATCATCCTTAGGTATCGCTTTGAAGCAGGAGTCATATTCATTCTGAGGATCCCCAGATAATTTATTTGACGACGAGCCCTTAACGAAAAGGGTACTCGAGGCTGTTCTACATTCACTTTCAGGAAATTTAAAGTGTTTGAAAGTGCATGCGAATAGTCTATTCTGATACTTTTCGTCTGATGGCTGCTGAACAGAGGCAGAAGATATGCAGAAAGAACTTGAACGCTTATCTGCACTGGCAGGCCCTAGGAGCAGTTGAAATAAAAGCAAGTAGCATGTTCCCGATGGTCATGCTAAATGCTCGCGAGAATCGAGGAGCACTCCCGGTATCGGTTTTTGAATCTTTCAAATTAACTCTCATAGCACGATCCACATCAATCTGATGTTGTTTGGCTTCTTATGTCTTTCGGCATGCAGGGTGCTTTGCCGTTCGTTCAAGAATTGGTTGGTTTCATTTGTCTAAGATGACGTTTTTCCGAATACACTAGAAAACCCTTAGTCGATTCTTTTCCCACTGTGGAATTCCATAGCACATTTCCATACGTTCCTCTCCAGTCCCCGACCAGCACGAGACGTGGGACTAACAGCATGAGCTTCGCAATACTTGTTGCAGGGCTTCTACTTTTCCATGTATGCGTCGCCCAGCCGAGCGAAAGTATTGTTGATGTCCTAAGCAGTTTGGAGGATTCAGACATCAACTCTGATTCACCTATCAATAAAAACGAATCTGATTTCAGCATACTCTCAACTCTTATTTTGCTCGCAAACCTAGACTCAGTGTTCGATTACAGTTCTAGATTCACGCTATTCGCACCAAACAATGGCGCATTTATTCAAACCGCAAAGGATTTGGGTATTGGAGCAAGTGATGAGGAAACAGTTTTCGAAAATTTTTTTCTGCTCCTTTCCAAAATGTACGATAACCCAGTATCTGGCTTGCAGGACCTTTTGCTCTATCACATCGTATTACACAAGTTGAAGTTTCCAGTTTACCCTACGACTGAGTCAGAAGCAGAGGAGTTCGATGCAGCGTTGAGATTACGAGGTATTATTCGGGATGGTCGAACCCTCATCGATGCCAATCCACAATTTCCAGATCCAAAGACAGTCTCTGGGTTTGTCAACATTGAAGCTCCTAACGGCTATGTTCATGTCATCGACCGAGTGCTTCTCACTGATTCTTTTGAACCAAATGACTCCCTTGAGTCGAATGAAAATGATAGCCTTGTACTCCCAACGCAGACCCCTTTCGCGGACGTAGACGAAGAAAAAGAAGTATTCGGGGAGATGGATACAACACCTGAAGAAACACTGTCAATTATGGGCAACGAGGACGGACCACCATACATTTCACCTGATGTGGAACCCCAGGATATACTATCTGGTTCTCCCATACTTGACGGAAACTTGTCACCTCCAGGACAAGAGTATCTGGAGCAGGACGAGCCACTTGATTTCGAGGAAGTAGCAGCCTCTGACACTCCTGTGGCATCAAGCGCCGACACGGAAGCTATAAGTCTAGAAGCAATGCCCACCGTGACTGCAAGCCCCGAAATGGTGTCCATAAGTCCCCTCGAAGTGCATACGAAGAGTCCTGAAGCGGTGTCTAGCAGTCCCGAAACGATGCCAACAAGCCCGGCAACCTTATCACCAACTTCTGAAAACACACCTATAAGTCCCGAAACAGTGTCCAGCAATCCCGAACCTGTGTCTAGCACTCCCGCAACTGTTTATAGCGATCCCGAAACAAGACCTACAAGTCCAGCAACCTTGACTCCATTCCCCCAAACCACGGCTTCAAACACTCTTCCTGTCAGTTCTGAAGGCCTCCCGTCCAAATCCACAGGTCCTTCTTTGCCATCTTCTACTGCTCCTCCGCTTTCAATATTAGAAGACGGAATTGAACTAGACCTTGCCGAACAGTTGCCGATGGCAACAATTGAGATATCAACAAATGACGAATTCGCGCCAAATCTTCCACAGGAAGCCGCATGGTCGATTGAAGCCTCGCCTGAAGGCGCAATGGAAGAAAAAGTTCAGCCCACCAGCGAAATGGAATTCTCAGAGACCCATTCGGAGCAAAGCGGTAAGATGCCACTTCCAACACCTCCTGGTATTTCTCCAACAGCAAGTGATGTGTTCACATTTACGGCAACCCCGGTCGCTCCAGTTCCTCTTCCCGTGACTTTTCCTGCTCTAGATGGTCCCTCTTTTGATCCAGAAGTCCAAGCAGATGAGATATACATGCCTGTACAAACAGGGGATGTGGATTGGGAGGAAATGAGCTCCAGTCTAGATCCGGATGTCGAGGACAAAGCCTGTTTTTCTTCCTCACAGATAGTGCATTTAGAGAATGGGTCCGACATTTCTCTATCTCATCTCGATGCCGGTCATAACATAAGAACTTCGGAGACAGAGTTGAGCCGGGTGTATTTATTCACTCACAAAACGTACACTGGCACGTTTGATTTCGTTCACATAACAACTTATGGCAACCATACAATCACGATGACAAAAGGGCACTATATCTACGCCAATGGCAAGCTCAGAGCAGCTGGAAGTGTCAAAGTAGGGGACATGTTGAGCACTTTGGATGGACCTGCAAGGGTACAGTCTGTTAGCGCGGTGCGTGGTAATGGCTTGTTCGCCCCACACACGCTCCAAGGGGATATTGTTGTCAACCGCATCATCGCGTCAACATACACCACTGCCATGCACCCAACCCTAGCACACATGATGTTGTGGCCTTTTCGTGCCGTTACGCGTCTTGGAATCACGAAAGAACCCCTAGGACAAACTCTCTACAATGGAATCCCGGGAATTTTCGCAGAATATCGTCATAGTGCACCCGTAACAGAGAATACATAATAGAGAGTGCAAACCACGGGAAGAACTTATCCGTCATGACATGAGCCATTGACAGCAAGAAAACATCTTTATCAGTCAGTCCCCTATGATCTATTGATCTCGTGGACGAAAGCGAGGCAAAAAGCTCGTCCTGACACTCTCAGTCAGTCAAGCTGCACGTCTAGATGACCATAATCTACTTGTACGTTTCTCCTACTGTACGGGCCTCTTCCATTCCGATCAGAGCGGTTAAGATGCACGTGTAGTATAAAAATGTAATACGGACATTTTCTCTCCTTGACATTCGCGTCCTCCTCATGTTCCTTCGAGCAGTCGCTGTTGGTTCGGCAAGAAAAGCATATTGTGTGTCCGATGTATCCGCAGCAGGCATCGCTCAATGAGAACTGAACAACTTTTCAATTCCACATGTCTTTTGGAGCGGACTCGCCGGTCGTTACGTAGGACGCAAGCTGTGAGCAGATTTGAAAAAAGGTAACGGCAGCGAAAAGGCGCAACCGTACGAGGCATTGTATTTTCCCGCGCCTCAAATGAATTCAAAGGCCTGTGCAATGGAAGTATCCTCCTCGTGTTGATGTGCGGTTGTGAAGTCCCTATCCGTGCCCTCGGTGCCGCCCTCGAGGACAAAATGACTTGCAACGTTGCAATTCTTCAGCGTAGCACCCCCGCCAATGCTGGCCCCCTCACAAACGACGCATCCTGCCAAATTGGCGCCTTCCTCTAAAGTCACGTTATCCAAAACGACACAGCCATTAACCTTGACATTGGATGCGATCTGGCAGCCCGCGCCAATGACACTTTTCTTAATCGAAACGCGGTCACCTGCCGAGACACCCGGTCCGACAGCAGAGTCGGTTGACACGTTACAGCGCTCCCCCTCCGTCTCGAACACGCTAACTTTTTCGCTTTTCTTTTCCTTGTTCTTTTTCGCTGGGACGTCTTTATCCGCCTGCTCCTTGTTTGGGTTCAAAAAGGCGTCCAGAAGCCCCCCGGCAATGGCCAAGTTTGCCCTCTTAAAGGAGTCCACGGTATTGGCCCTCTTCGCATACACGCCCGTTATGACATCGGCGACGACGGAGACGTCTCTCAAGCCGAGCTCCCAATCCGCAACCTCGTCGCTCAGGGTATGTTGCCTCCTGGCCAAATACGGGATGAGGTCATACTTGAGTGAAGAAATCTTGGAATACTTGAACAAAAGCTGCTGCACCAAGGAAAAGTTGAGGATGTAAATATGGGGGTCAGAAAGATTGGAGCGGACGGAGATGGACGGGTAGCGGTTGACAAGCGGGGCGGCAGCCCGCAGCGAGCCGGCCTCCAAGTCGGCTTTGGAGAAGACGGCGAGCAGGCGGTTGTCGGCTTGGTTCAACAAGGCATAGCCTTCGACGTCAAAGCCCTCAACCGCTCCCTTTGGTTTCTTCTTCCCTCCCTTCTTCCCCTTTGCAGCGGAGTCCGTGTCTGTGTTCGTCTCCTTCTCCACGAAGGCGACGGTAGCAGCGACGCCCTTCTCGCGATGCCTATCGGCCAAGGCGGCCAAGTCGATATCGCCGACGTAGTCTGCGCTCATGACGAGGACGTCTGCGGGCTGCAGGTTGAGCTGGGCCAAGAGCTCTGCGGTGCCTGCGTCGGGGTCGGTCTCGAGGACGTCGACGGTGAGGGCGGGGCGGCGGAGCGCGCGGACGAGCGGGTCCTCGGGGAAGACGTTCTGGCAGTATTCGCGCACGGCGTCGGCGTGTTGCGCGGAGGTGACGACCAGGACGTAGTCGACGGCGCGCGCGATGGAGAAGAGCGAGTAGAAGAGCATGGGCCGGTTGGCGATGGGGAGCATGCATTTGGGCGAGGGTGTCGCCAGCGGCGGCATGCGCGAACCACGCGTGCCGGCGAGGAGGAGGACTTGCATCGAGATCGACATGGCGGATGCGGGAGGGGAGGAGGCGGAGGGGAGGAGGCGGAGGGGAGGAGGCGGGGGGGGATGGATGTTGGTAGGGAGGCGGCGGCTCAAAGAGAATGGCGAGGATGACGGGAGAGATGGGGCGGGATGGGATGGGATTGGTTGCCGGGGGCATTGCTGGAAAGCGGATCGTGATTGGCTGGAATCGTGGCCAATCAGGGTGGAGGGGCGCGGACTGCGAAACTTTGCAAAACATGAAATATTTAGTGAAAACCGCTTCTCAATTCGCGAAAATCTGACTTTTGGTACAGACCTATTTCCGCTCCCCTATCTCCGCTCCCCTACAGTATCTCCGCTCCCCTACAGTATCTCCGCTCCCCAATCTCCGCTCCCCCCCGTCGCGACCCCGCCCGAAAACCGCAGTCTTCAGCCAACCGCCATGCTTCCGCTCGCCTTCGCCACCTCGCCCTCCGCGCTGCACGCGCCTCGCGCCCGTCTCCCGTCGACGTCACCGCGCCGCGGCGGCAGGCGTGCCTGCGTGCGGATGTCGCGACGCGCGCGCGTCGACCCGCGCGACGAGGCGTTCGTGACGTGCCAGTCGTGCGGGGCGGACGAGATCACGTCTGCGGCGGGGCTGCTGCGCGCGGCATCTGCGCGGGTGACGTGCGGGCAGTGCGGGGCGACGTGGGTGGCGCGCGCGGGCGACGCGCTGACGAGCACGGGGTCTGCGCTGGTGGGCGCGCGCGGCGCGGAGGGCGGCTTGGACGGCGGCTTGGACGGCGACGAGGAGCCCGCGCAGCGCGTCGGCGTCAAGCTGTTCGTCGGCGGGCTCGGGCCCAAGGTCGGCGGCGACGCCCTCCGCGCGGCCATGGAGGAGTTTGGGGAGGTCACCGAGGCGCGCGTCGTGTACGATAGGGTCACGGGCAGGTCGCGCGGCTTCGGCTTCGTCACCATGGTCGGCAGGGCCGCCGCCAGCGCGGCCGTGGACGTGCTCAGCGGGGATAGTAGCACGCCGCTGGGGAGGAGGCTTAAGGTCCGGGAGGCGATCGAGTGAGGGGGGACGGGTGCGGGGGCTCCAGCGGCGGCGGCGGCAAGAGACGCGAGAGGACAGAAGAGAGCGAGATGAAGCCGAAGGAGGAGCAGTTGGGGAGGAGCTCTGTGTAGCGCCACTTCTGGCGTGCGGGCTTGAAAGGGGGGACCAGGCAGTGCAGGTGCAGGTGGTGCACGGAGCGCAGCGGCCACTGGTGGAAGCCCATGATGGGGGGGCTGGCGGTGTGCTGCGCAGCGAGGCGGGCCATTTTGAGTAGCAGCGGTACGTCGGCGGCGGTGAGGTCCTCGACGCCGCGGATGAAGCGGTGCCGCGGGACGAGCAGCAGGTGCGTCGCGGCGCGCGGGACGTGGTCCGGAAAGACGACGAGGTCGTCGTCCGTGTACAGCACGTTGGAGGGGGGCACGGCGAAGTGGGTCGCCCAGACTTCGGCGGTGGGTGACGGGAGGGGCGGCATAGTGGACGAATGGTTGTGGCGAGGAGCAGGGCCGCGGGGCGTGGACGCGAAAATATTATTTGAGGTTTGGTTCTGGTGCACAATGGAAACGAGCATCATCATCATTCTGAAGAGGTGCCCCCCGTCTCTGTCCTCCCCCCTCCCCCTCCCCCCGACCACTCTTGTTCATCGTAAAGCGCATCTTTATTGCATCCCACGCGGGCGCAAGGCCGTCACGCAAAACCAACGGCCCCGAGCCCGCAGTCTATCGCGGGACTTGCCCTGTCCCAATACCGTGCCGGTCAATAATTATATACAAGCACCACAAAACTCTCTGCTCCACAATTACAACCTCCGCAGCTCGGGGTGGTCCATCAGCATCTCCTGCTGCGAGAGGGTGTCCTTGAGGCTCTGCGGCGCCCACACGACCTCGACGGCCTGTAGCTGGTCCTTGGACACAGAGGCGAGCGCCCGCAGCGCGCGGTCGACGTCCTTGGTCCCGTCGATGACCTTGGGCAGCTTGGTGACCAAGTCGCCCGCGGCAGCAATGAGGAGCGCCACGACGATGTACTCGCTCGGGGCCTTAGTGACGTCCGTCTCGCCAGCGCGCGCACGCGGCGCCTCGGCGCGGCGCCCGTCCGCGTTGCTCAGCGTCTCCTCGCCGAGCTTGAGGCGCTCCTCCAGCGCGAGCTGCGTGAATTGCGACTCCGCGTCCGAGAGGCGTGCCTGGCGCACGTCGACGGCGGCGTACATCCAGTAGTCGGGGTTGCGCAACAGCGCGGTGGCGGCCTGCTGCAGAACGTAGCGCAGCCCCGCGGGTGAGGCGGTGTCTGCAGAGCGGGCCATGGCGTCGAGGTCGAGCTGCAGCGGGCGCGCGTTGGCCAGCAGGCCGACCTTGAGGACAGCGACGGCGGTCTTCGGGTCGGCCTGCTCGCCGAGCTCCTGGTCGGCCTTGCGCGCGGCGAACGACTCGTACAAGAAGGCGGCGGCCGTGGCGAAGAGCAGCAGCGAGCCGAAGCCACCCATGCCGAAGCCGCCGATGGGCATGA